TACTTAATTGATTTTTACCGGATAACTTTAAGTATTTTTTTTATAAAAAAATTACATTGTATTTAATGAAAGAAAACATTTTTAAACTAAATTGAATTCTTCTATTAAATTATTGAATTCTATTGACCCCACGGATTGATCCATAATCCAATATTAGCTCACAATTTTAGTCGGGTTAAATTCGGAGTTAAATCTAACAACTACGCTTTCCCTCAATGCCATGAATTTAGTTTCTTATAATTTTTAATGCACAAAAATAAAAACAGGCGACCTTCTTTCAAGCATGTTGGCTTGCTAAGGTAAGCATGATATTAAATAAGGTGAGCCACTTTAAAAATCTGTTGCTAACTCTAGCTAGGTCTACAAATAGCATACAGATTCGGGCACAGTAAATTAAAATCAGCTCATAAACTATCGCAGCCACCTATCAAACATGACGATATGATGCTTCCGAAGATGGTATTCAATGATTATTCTATCCCCACCAACTCCTAATTCAACCCATTTTATCATTGGACTTCGTCAAAGCCCTCATCATCAGCCATAGTCAATTGTAGCTGATCCAAAGTTAATCTAACACATAAAATCTACGAGGGAAAGGGCATTATTCATTTTTAAAAAATAACCAATAATAGTAAAATAGATCGTACTCGTATTTTTTTATTACAAGAAGATAGGCATTGACTTGGAGAATTCATGTACTTATCAGTAAGTACAACATGGACCGTGTAAGGTTTGTCCCTTCTTAACAATAAAAACAATCATGTTCGACTAATCATATATTAATCTTGTCGGCTTTATCGTTTAGGATTCTGACCTTTGTTTATTATTTAAATAGCGAGTTGCAACTTGCAAGTAGTTTAGATTCGTTAAGAGTATCGTACTAATTTAGTTCAGTGTACGGCTGCATATCTAGTACTGACATATTATATAAAGACTTCAATTTTATATAATCTAAGAGAATCTTGATTATCTTTGGCATATGATCATTCCATGCTAGCCCCACTGCTAATTATCCTCTATTTTCTCCATTTTCCATGTAACTTCTACAATGAAATTAAGCACAATTGGATTTAGATTAAGATAATCACTAATTACTTCTAATCGCAATAGAAACTACTCCAGCAACCGTTGATAAAGTTTAAAACAATAAAATTATAAAAATAGTATTTTTTTTCATTGTTAGCAAATGGATGGATCTAAAAATCTAGTGATTCATAACATGACCTGAATTGGATTTGAAGTTAAAAAAGATAAAAAAAATTGACTTAGTCAACACAAAAAAATTGACTTGGTCAATAAAAAAATTTATCAAATAGTGATGAATTGGTTTTTCTAATTAAATATGAAGCAAATAGCGATAGAATTGCATCTGTTGAAATCAAATACGAAATAGTGATAGATTAATAGCAGTTTATTAGCGATGAAAACCAATCTAACGTTAAATTTGGTGGCAAAATACTCTCGAGAGTTGTAGAGACGAGTTTATTTTATATATTTTTTTAATATAATATAATAAATTAGGTTGTAACTCAAATCTTTACGAGCCGTTCATGACCACTCATAATTAGAAAGATGATTCATTTATCGATAGACGGTCGCAAGCAATAATGATAAGCTTATATATATATTTTTTAAAATATATATACTTCTACCCATATAATGTAAAAAATACATTTATGATTTAATATTATAATTATTTTAATGATATAAGAGCGTGTACGATTAATGCAAAGAATAGTTGTTAAGAAATAGTATGAGGGTGAATAATCTTCTTCATATATCGACATGTCTAAGATATATTTGGATTTTGTCGTATGAGAGAAAAAAAGAGAGTGTATGGTCTCGGATTTTAGACGTCGTAGTATTACTTATATTCTAGCACCAACTCTTTTTCCGTCACTTCATGGTATTCCGATGGTAATATCCGAAGGTTTCGCCTAGGACAAAAGTAGGATCTAGGAAATGGAGACTACCATACAACAATAGTTTAATCAAGTTAGCACCATACGAGTCGATTGCAAACGATGATGAGATTGTTACAAAACCTTCGGTATACTCGCATCCCTCTTGTTGACTCTCCAACAACTTGGAAGTGATCAATTGTTTCTCTTAACGCTTAATAGCCGGAAAATGATGTAGGAGATGATGATGATGAGAACTACATTTTTTTTAAAAAAATATTTTTATACACATTAACGCATTTATATATTTATTTTATTTTAATTTATACTATTTTAATTTTATTAAATAATATATCATGTTTTAATAAGGTGTTATTTATAATTGTTTGTTATTACAATTAACAATATACAGCTATTGATTTAAAAAAATTAAAATTACTTCGTTTAGTGACGGATTTAGTGATGACATATTTAGCGATAAAGACGTATACAATTGCTAAATAGTGATGGATTTAGCGACGAAATTACATGAATTTTAGTGACACTCTTTTTGTCGTTATTTAACGATGGATATAAGTGGAACTAGCAATGACATGATAATGAATATAAGAAATTACAAACGATTGTTTTAGATCAGTTTAATGACAAAATTCAACAAATTAGCGACGAATTTGCCGTCTCTAATCAACTATGAAAAAAATTCGTTGCTAAGGAAATAGCGATGGCCATATTAGTGACGGACTTATTATTATCTCTAACCTATCGCTAATTGTATAGCGATAAATTTTTAACATATAGCGACGGAACAATCCGTCGCTATATGTCGAATTTCTGATGGTGCAAACTTAGAAGATTCAGTTTAAAATCGATTAATTTAGTCAACCTGATAAGTTCCTATTAAAATCTAATATGGTTAAAAGTTAAATAAATAAATAATTAAAATGACTTAAAAAAAAATCCGATGCATGGTTCTTGCCAAGACTGAAAAAAGATTTTGACAACTTCCTACAAATGAATCTATTATGTAATACGGAGTATATATATGATATACATTACACTAATTAATTCTAAGAAAACAAGTGTATTATTAAAAAAAAAAAAAACTAGCAAATATGGTGGAGATGGATGATGAACCCCGACAAATCTACGCCTTTTGTGTTAAAAAAGTTTGCTAACCCACCATAGACAGTTGTGATATGTGTGTGTAACAAATTATAATATTACAATTAATTTTTTCCTTTGATAAGTGAAAATGTTTCCAAATTCACATCATATCACCTAAAAAAGGGGATTCAACTTTGGTGCAATTATATTTGATTAAGATATACTTACTATACGAACTAGTCTTGAAGCTCGAGAAACACCTTCAATTCAAGAGCTCAAGTGGACACAATATAGCTTCATATTTGCCACAAGTTATGGTCCTCCAATAAATTGAGGTGAATGTACATCGCAATTAAAACATCCAACAAAAGCAATTGCTACTTAGCCAAATTGCATTAAACAAATTAAAATTGTCAATTTGATACGAAATGAATCATTATTCTAAACATTGACCATCTTAATTATAATAGCTTCTTCTTATCAAAAATTTTTGTTATTAGTTATTACTTCAATAACAAATTAAAGCATTGCAACTTGCCGTTGTTATATATATTAAGACCTAGGAAGACATAGGATGAGAAATTTTAGTAGAAGTATTTTGCCATCATTGATATATATAGCTATACCGCATACGCCTTAATCATTTTTGGGATCACTATCATACAATACTATTGTATTGTCCATCTCTTTCGCAGTTTGGTCTGTTGTAACAACTTTGAAACTAATTCTGATTGACGAGTTAATTAATTAGCCTTGTATAGTCTCTCTCTTTTTTTTTTTTTATTAACAAAATCATAAACAAAAGGTAATTAAATGCTAACAAGAAATTGCAAATTTCTTCTCTAGCATAAAAAATAAAAATGGCAAGTAGAAAAAAATAAAAATTAAAGCTCTGCTACTAGTTATTTGAATTAGTTCAAGTTGTGGAACTGGAGAGTTGCTTTCCTTTTTTCTGCCAACAACTTCTTCCCTCACTCCATTAAATATCAATATATAAAAGTAATAAATTAACTTTTGTATTTTTCTAAATTAAGATGATGGCAGAGACAAATCAAGAAAGCGACAAAGATTAAAGTTGACAATAACTGTACATTGCCAAAATAGCCATGTAAGACTCTGATTTAACGAATAAGAAGCTAACTAGTAGGAACTGTTAATAAATTAAGAAATTAAAGACTGGAGATCAAATTATTAACCAGGAGATTAATTCTAGTAGTAGAATATTCAAGAAGGTTCAATTTTAATCGTTTAAAAAAATTATTTTGATTTCAAATATTTATGTATAAGTTGTATCTATTTTATAGACATCCAATCGAATAACGAGAGATTAATCTAAGCTTTTAAACTTGAGATACGTGATAGATCTAAAAAAAATTAATAGCATGGAAAAAGAAAACCACGTACAATCAATTAATGAGTTTCAATCAAATGATTGTTATGCTAATCCACAATTAGTTGTTTACGAAAAATCCACAAATTAATATCATATAAATATATATAAAAAGACTGAGAAAGAAAAGAAAAGCAAAGGTATATATTGAAGACCCCAAAAAAAAAAAAATTGATGTGAGTATGACTTAAAAATTTCATCTTTCTCGTTTTATAATTAAAAAAAAAAGCCGGTTGGCATTTTCCTCCATATATTCGTTGCTTAATCAACAAGAAAAAACACAGTTTAGTTAATTTTTTTATTCCAGTAATTGTTAATATTTAAGCCATTACAATAAAAGTAAAGATTTTATTTTATCGTCTTGGATTATCTAACACAATTACATAAGCCTAACCTACACATTTTAATTGTGCAACAGTAAATGTCAACGGCTTGTACTAATCGACAAATCTCTCTCAAACCCTTTTAAAATCCAAATGCCTCTACCAAACACTCACTCCCAATTCTCAATTCTCAACTCTCAACACCCTACAAAAAGAATACCAAACATAGAAGAGAAAAACTGAAAGAAATCTCTAGGATCTCAGAGAAAATTAGAGATTATGAAGCTGGTTTGGACCCCAGATACAGCTTTAAAAGCTTATGTTTCTACTGTCAGAACAGTAAGGAAATTCTGACCTGAAACGCACAACTCTATTTTTTGATGTCTGCACTCTATTGATTTCATTTATTAATTTACTTATTTATTTTCTCTTCTTTTTCCTTTTATTGCAGTGTGAGAATTTTAAAGAATCCAGTGTAGCGGAACTTCTCTCGGCCATGGCGGCCGGTTGGAACGCAAAGCTGATAGTTGAATCTTGGTCTAAGGGTGGTCCAATATCGACGAGCATCGGCCTTGCTGTGGCGGCTAATCACACAGGTGGAAGACACGTGTGCATAGTCCCTGATGAAGGGTCAAGATCGGAGTACGTTAAAGCCATGCACGGTGCTGGGATGGTGGAGACGGAGGTGCTGGTAGGCGAAGCAGAAGAGTTGATGGCAGGGCTTGTGGGGGTGGAATTTTTGGTGGCGGATTGTAAGCGGAGGGATTTTGTTAGGGTTTTAAGGTTTGCTAAGTTGAGCCCGAAAGGTGCTGTATTGGCATGCAAGAATGCCTTTCAAAAGCCTGTTTCTGGGTTTAGATGGCATGGGGTGCTTGAGAGAGGGACACGTGTTGTCAAAACTGTGGTTTTGCCTGTTGGGCAAGGATTGGATATGGCTCACATAGGGAGTAATAGCGGGAGTGAGAGTTCAAAGAGGGGTCCTAGCCGTTGGATTAAACATATTGATCAAAAGTCAGGTGAGGAACATGTGTTTCGTGGATAAAAATTTGATGTAATATCGGGAAACACAAAGGTTGTGACGAGAATCTATAGAGTAGGTTGAGTAATAGTTCTCAGAACCTTAATGGAGTATCTATCATACATAATTGCAGCATAAATTAAATATAGTTGTACGTAATTTCATGTGAATGAATGTCTTGGAACTTTTGAAACCATGCCTCTCTTTCTTTGACTCGTTTAACTTCTTCATGCAAGAATTCCTTAATTTTTTCCTATACTTTCATGAAAATAATCTTCATTGATTCTAAACCCATGATTTGAAAATCAACTACTAATTAAAATTTTCACATTGATACTAGTTAATTAGTGGTTAGAGATGAGCATAGTTTTTTTTTATTCTTGACTAGAATTTTAAGTGTTGATTTCGAATTCAACAATCCAAATTCAACAAAGTAACGTGATCATAAGTCATACACTCTTCTTTTAACCAAAAAAAAAAAAATCGCAAGTCTTAAATATTAGTTATCACTTTGTGGTTGGAGTTCCATGGGCCTGAGTTTCGTCGAAAGATATTAGTATTCTATTTTTAAACTCTTATTTCTATATATTGGATTTGGTGCTCTCTGTTTCGATTTTCTGCTGCCATTTAAGGAAGGATACGGATACGAAGGTTACTTCGGTTAGTTTTATCTAATTTTTTCCTTTTTCGGAGAAGAGATATTGCTTCAGGCTTCAGTTTGGAAGTGGACATGATAGAAGAGGGTCGTTTTTGAAATGATGGGCCGTTTTTACTTAAAAAACAGAACAGACTATAATCTTGGGCCTCCATCTATATAGGACAGACTAATTTGAGGAACAAAGCAACGGAGAAAACTTTTATGCCACAGGAACAATAACTAGACCTAATAGAAAAATAACCCCATTTTTTTTAATAGAAAAATAACTTGATCGGACCACTAGCGAGTAAATTAGAGCAATACTTAAGCAACAGCTTATGACATGTCCTATCCCTAAAATTGTTATATGCTGTCCTGTCTCTTACAGAACAATTGGAACTTGGACATTAGAAATAATCAGGCTATTTTAAATATGCCATGATCGAATGTCCAGAAATTATAACCTTTCAGCTAAGAGGAAAATATCCAGTCATGGCCTTGAACGTTCAAGCGGATGTCATCCTAATCTCTGAATGATCAAAATATGCAAGAAGCTGTGGTGGAAAATATCATCATTCCTTTCAAATTTTTGTATATTGATATGAAAAAAATATCATAAAATTTTTCCAGAAAATTGTATAGCCATTATGGAAAAGGCATTTTAAGATCAATATTTTCTGTTTCAAGTAGGAAATCCAAATTGAAAGAACTGATCAATCAATACGCCCTCTGTTATCCTGACTAATAAATCAGTCTCTGTGCTCCAATCGATAATTAATTCTCTATAGATTACACTTAGTTTTTCTATAATGTTTTAGCCTGTTCATTTATTTTGTGAAAAAAACTTAAAATAAATCCATTCTAAACACGTGGAAATTTGGGAAAACACATATAAATTCATTCACAACATCCAAACAAAAAGCCAGATGCTTGTTACATGCCATTTGCTATCTACATTGATAAACATTCCTAGAAAGATAAAGAGCTCAACTAACATTTACGTCGTCTCAAGTTCGAAACTGATCGTCTTCCTCAAAAAAAAAAAAAAAAAACTACAGCCTCATTTAGGGTACTCAAATATTTTTGCTTAGAGGACCAAAATATGGCTCAAACTTCAATCTTTTGCGTTGTGGAAGTGCCGAAGTGATCCTATAAACATGCTCTTCACCAGTGCACTTGTCAACCTCAGTGACCCATGTACTTCTCTTTCCATGGCTACACCCACCAGTACCCTTACCGGTTGGGCCAATTCTAGTGACCAGAAGCCCCTCTCCAATGTGTAAAAATCGAGTCTTAAATTCACAAGACCATGACGATCCCTTATGGAAGGCGTTGTACCCTACTATAAGCCCCTTTCCATGTTTTGAACACTCCTGTGCAGCTCTAAGCACCTCCTTGCATTCATCAATATCACAATCTACGAGTACAAAATCTGCCCCTCTGTAGTCCTTTGGTAATAAGGTCTTGGCATCTCCTATGACAAACTTAACACAATCTGCATAAGGTCCTAGAGCATTTTGTGATGCACAAAGATTGGATTTAGTAGGTAAAATATAGACTACATTGCCACCAGTTTGATGTGCAGCTGCAACCAATGATAGGGTGGTGGATCTATCAATTTTGCTAGCTGATGCTATCACCATGAGTTGTGCATTGTTTCCTGCAGCCAAGGCTGATATTAATTCAGCTACATCAAGCTCCTTATCTCTTTTACCCTATTAAAAAAAAAAACCAAAATCAGAAAAATGAAATAGAATATAAAAATTTTTTGCAGAAAACACAAGGATTTTGGAGAGATATTATTGCTTACCATTTTCAAGGCATGGAGATAAGCTTTGGTGGCGTTTTCAGCTGACCAACTAGCCATTTTCTTTGTTTTGCTTTAGAGTGTTCTGGTACTGAAATGAATTACAGTATGTTTCATGTATTGCTGCAGTGAGGCACAACCACATAAGATTTATACGCGTGGAAGAAGGGAGTGTGTGGTCTCGTGTGCCATTAATTATTTGCCTGCAAGCAACTAAGGGAGGTGTTTGTTGAGGAACTTAGAAATTCTGCCATGCCAACCGGCAATGTTGAAAAATGTAATTAAAAAAAAAAAAAAAACTATTGACTAAAAACAGGTTAACTTTCTCTGGTATTCTATTTCTGTTGGTTTAGCAGATGATGAGAGCAAGTTCACTAATTTAAAATTTCTATTGAAAGAAAGACAAACTTGATTCCGCTAAACCACTTATTCCCTTGGTCCCCAAATAAAAGGATAAAGCAATTAGAAAAAAAAAAAAAGCTTTATAAGATATTACTTTTTTGAAGCATTTTTTAGTACGTAGTATGCATATATATTCTTTTTAGATTTGAATTCTCTTATACATTTTTTTAAAGAGTATGAATGAATATTATATATATTTGTTAAAATTTAATTTTTCGGAATCAAATCAATAGAAATGATAATTTAATCGCTTGTATGTATGAAAACTATGGCAACCATTGCCTTGTATTTATAAAATCCCGACTATTGATTTAATTCTAACAGATTACATTTAGTACGAGTTCACTCATTTTTTTTTTTTTAAAGGGTCCTGAATCCATTTTTAATTTAAGTTTTCGGTGGAATGATTTTTGAACTAGCCTCATTCATTGCTAACTCTAGCTCGATTCTCCTATTAAATAAAAAGTGGGTGCCATATATACCCTTGTCATTTTCTTCATTTTTTTTCAAGGTTCCAAGTTCCAACCAGGAATCAAAGTGCCTCTTTTCTTTTTCAAATAAAATAGCTTAATTTGACTCTCTGCATGCTATTGAATTCTAGAACATACCATTATTCTGTGAACATGTAATAGGGAAAACAGGCCTTGAAAGTTGAATCTATGCACTGCCCCCAGAATTAACCGACAGACCAGGCAACCAAAGGATCGAAAATGCATGTTGCCTACTTCACCCCTGACATCTTTGCCCCTTGTGGTGTTATATTTCTAGAGCTAGCACCAATTTGTTTGTTTAGTGCTACAACCTTACTAAAATAGAGTTTTTGATTTCTAGACCATCTCCAAAATATTCATGGATCATCTGTGGTGTCCTAAACTAGGGGAACAAAAATGTATATACATTAAAAGAACGTAAGTACATGTTTCTACTCCAATGTTTAGATATTTTCCGGCATTTACCCAAGACAAACAGAGCAGTGCTCATGTTCATTCAGGCAACAGGGTTCTACTCTAATGCTGGATAAATTATACCCCTTGCGCAAATTGATGTGAAAATTGAATCCTCAAATATATTAAGCGGCGGAGCCAGAAGTACATCTACTTGGCAGGGTCAAAAGTTTAACTGAAATTTGAATAAAAAGTTAGATAAATAAAATTATTTATCAACAATTAAAGTTGTCCAAACGATATATATATATATATTAAAAAATCAATTAAGCCCAAGAAAATGAGGAGACTTATTAATGCTAAATCTCCATAGAAGTTATAACGAGAATTCTGAAAAAAAAAAAATTGACATTCTTATTATAAAATTATCCTGCTTATTGTTCCCCTCAAGTATCTTGAATTTGTGTTCAACATTCTTTCATCATATAGAACTCTTCAATTGTGATATCAATATAAAAAATTTAAGCAAATTTCCTTTCCATTGAAAGTACAAATGATTAATAGTTTTGTAATTGTTCCAAGTATTGGTATAATTCTGAAATTTTTAACACTTTGCAATTCAAAATGTTGTCACGTATATTTCAATTTCAAAAGACTTCAGTTGTGCTATCTTTCTTAGATTGATAAAATCCTTTTAATAAATTTTATTTGTAAACTTGAAAATATCACCAATGCTTTGTTTTTTTTTTTTTTTTTTTTGACAAATATGTTATCTCATGTACAAAACTCATTAATTATATATAAACATATACACAGAACACAAGCGCGCATATATATAGTTATTTTTTTTTATAAAGGAGGCAATCATTACTATATGTTATATATATCTCCTAGAAAAAATAATATTTTTAGAAGGGTATCCTATCTATTAATTTAATTTTTTATTATATTTATATAAAAAATTATCATATAAATTTTTATTTAATCCATACTCAGTTCATATTAATTTACTCTTTCATTTAGTACTTATTTAATAACCCCTAAAGATAATTTATCAAAAATATTTATTTTAATCCCTATAATTATAAGAAAAGCTTTTTTTGGTCCTTCAAATTTAATTATTTTTTCCTTTTAGTCATTACTTTATAAGTTTTTTTTATCCTCTTTTTTTTTTAAAAAAATATTTTGATTTTTAATTTTTAAATTTTATATAATTAAATTCATATATGTTAATAAAAAAATCAAAATAAATTATTAAGTATTGATAATATAAAAAATAGGTATCCATATCTTAAAACTATATTAATAAGTATGTATTTTTTTATTCTTACTTTAATATCATTGAATATTTTTAATGAATATTTATTGAATTAGATAAAACAAAAATGGGTTTTTTGCCGAGTACATTGCCATCTCTGTCTGTAACGTTTCAATGAAAAATAATAATCAGAAATATACTTTGCTTAACATGTTAAGCTAATTACTTGTAAGGAATCCTAGGGTCACATTGAGAAACACCACAAGGCATCGCTTTTTACATGCGCTAAATGTTCAAAGCGATAGGATTGGATCCCGTCGTCATGGCTTAACTAACTACATATGGAATCAATGGTCTAGATTTGGGAAACTGTCACAACTATTTCAGAAATTGTGAACAATTTCAGAAAATTATTGGCAGAAGCTGAATTTAAAGGCAGTTTCTAAGGCATTGTAAAATTTGCCAACTTGTGAATAGGACATTATTTTATGCGTGCTTGTGTGCATGATTTTCTGTGTTATTTACTAATGATTGTTGTAGAGTGCTTTCAGATTCTTCTATTGATCAGGAGGGCAGGGAATAATGCCAGAGGTCTTAGTTTTATGGACTGCAGGGGAGAAAACAATTGGTCAAGGAAAAATAATTAAAAAAAAAAAGAAGAAGCGAAACTAAGCAAGACAAACTCCGTATAACAACCAATAAAATAAGGTAAGCGGACGGATGCCCTCTTGCCCGAAGGTCCCCAACAACCAACACAGATCTAGAAAGGATCCTGCTGCCTTCAATGCACATACATTGATTATCACAACATACTCTCATAATACAGTAATGTTTTGTGCGTTGAACGCAAGGCCCTCTGATCTCGTTTTTTGTTTCTGCTCAGCTTCTTACGGGTTTCCTGAAGATAGATTAGCATTGTTCTTGAGTTTCGATTCTGTGAATCCATGCTCCTTGGGTATCAAATCTTTTGGATCTAACCAAATTAATTTCATGTCCTGGATAGCACAGTAGCATTGCTAATCAGAGATTTGGGAGCTTGGAGACAATTCTTTAAGACGGCATGCTGTTTTCTGTCTTGGGGAGAAGCTTAGCAGTTGGACTGTAATGTCAACGACAAGATTTCAGTTTGCTTTCACAAACAGAGCGTACCCCCAATACAATGTTATAATTGTCTTCAACAGCAGAAACTACTGCTTGGAAATTAGCCTATAGAATCATGTTTGTGCACAAATAGAGAATTTAGTCACGTTGGTTCAATCTTCTCCTGAACCTGAATCATTTGCTATCAATGTTTAATTGTCTGAACAAACTGCAAAGAGATCAGCGTAAAACAAGAGAACTTTCAATATACAAATTATTCTCTGGCTGTTATTTCCGTACAACCTTCACACACATATAAATGTGACAACAACACAGAACTTGGGATACGAATGATGCATTCTATTACTGATCCTATTACACAAAATGAAAAAAAAAAAAAAAAAAAAAACCACTATAGAATCTTCCATCTATTCTATGTTGATCCTAACGACATTTTTGGCTCTTCCTCCAGAAGCATTAGTGCCGGGCTTGGATTCTGATCCCATTCCTCCAGCACTCCAGGCTTGCCTTGTGGATGGAAGAGCCCAACCTCCCCAGGCTCCTACGCCCTTCTGATCACAGCCTCTAGAGCCTACATTATGATGAATTGAAATTAGAGCATTACAAGCACATGCCAAAGAACATGGATGATGCCCAGAATCAACTATTGAATTACCAGCTCGGAAGACTGATAGATGTGTAACATGGCATGAAACAGACAAATTAACTCAACAACAAGCCATGTCATGTATAACATATACCAACAAATGCCATCATACAAGATTGGTGTGTCTGTTAGTGAATAGGATGCAAGGTCTGGTAACCTATTGTTAAAACGAAGAAATATACTGATGACAGACATGCTAATTTTGTGAAAAGTTTCTCATCGTTCATTCCAGCTTCAATATGAAATGTTCCTAATTTTGACTCTCGTGATAATTGACAGGACAGGCAATTTGGAATCCTCAGGGCTGCAAACAGATGAAACACAAATCATAACCATGAAATTTACACTAACTTCTTGTCCTTTTCTAAGAAGACATAGGAGCATGCTCACTGTTCATGGTTGCTAGTTGCAAGAACCGAAAACATGAATCTTATTCATCAAGATGATTCTTACTCAGAAGCAAACAGATCCTCCAAGAAACAAAAATCACAGAGGAAAACAATGTAATAAACAAGCAAGCAACCTAGAGGGGGGCGACAATAATTACCTCTAGTGCCATACATATCAAAATGATCACTCCAGCCAGCTGGCAACTGTCCTTTACCCTTCCATGCTTCTTCAAAACCAGTAAGGTCATCTGGAAAATCTAACAACATTAGCCTTCCTGATGATACAGGAACGAACACAGAAGCCTCAAAAGATCAGAGGAAGCAACAACAACAAACCTTCATTCAAGTTGTGTAAAGTTTGCTTTGTATCCACCTTGCCATCCTGATTAAGCTTCCTTGCGACAGAATGGCCCTACATAAGAAACACGAGAACATTAATCCTAACAGAAACGTGTTACATTACTTGCCACATACAGCAAGAGAGTACCTATTTTACCTTTCCCTCTGCTCATGTGAAGACCAACAAGAAGTGACAAAGAATAAAAATAAAATAAATAAATAAATTACTACATTTTAAGCTAAATATGTAACCTTAACCAGAGAGAAAAGAACAATGATTGATGAAAAAAAGGTTAATCTCATCAGGTTCGAAGTGTCAGAAGATTCCTTGATGATGTAAACTTGAGTTGAACATAAATTAAATAAACAGGAACACAAATGCATCTTCAGAGGAAACCCAGTGGATGCAAATGAAATTTTTACCACAAATATACGAGACACTTGGAACTAGTCTGACTAAATGAATCCTAAACCTTGAAAACAGACTCTTCATGTAAGAAAAAGTTTCAGCACCTAACGTATTCTTAATGGTTTAAAATCATTGTTCAGCATTCTCTAAAAAGTGCATGGCAACACAGACATGATAATGACCTTATCATTTATTCCTCTCGAAATCCTATGGGTTGCTTGACCAGTTGTTTTATCTGCTTCTTTGCTCTCCTCAATCACCACCTGCTACAGAATCATAACAATTAGCAATCAAACAGAAGGCATTTGTAAAAAAAATCAACATGCCCACAAAAAGGTTTACTTACTCCATCACTGCCCGTCCTTCTGTTCCTAGTGGAAGTATAATATGCTCCATCTATACCCCCATATGTAACTTTGCAAGTCTGAAAACTGGAACTGCGGATCTGTGGCTTTGTTCCTTCGGTCCTTTTAAAATCACTCCTATAATTCACAGCGTTGTTTTCCCTCTCTGAGAGACAAACCATAGTTGCAATCATTGATACACAAGTACAATGATCCACAAGCAAAAAGTAAATATGAATCAACCATGATTTTAACTTTACCATCAGGATAATCATCAGGATGCTCAACAGTTGGCTCTTGGCTTGAACCAATGTGCTTTTGATGGTCACTCTTCTCTTCTCCAGTTTGATCATCTTCTTTTTCACCCTCATCATCAGATGCTAATTCTTCTATAACTAATGCCTTCGCTCTATCGGTCTGCAATTCCTCCCTGCTAGTAGCACTTGGAGGATTGAACCTGCTAGACTCAAACATGCTACCGAATGGGCGAGTGAAGAATGGGTCATCGAATGGATCCCTCCCTCCAAATAGGCTCGGCATCATACCAAAGCCCCGGAAATTACCAAAGGGATCACCCATGGCAAAGAAATCATCTCTACCTTGCCTTTCCCTCTGCATTTTATACGTGCTATCCTTCTAAACACTGCAAAACACAAAATAGATTTATGGTTCAGTTGTCTTCAATACCAAGCATAAGAGAAAAACCTCCACAAACCGCACACCTCAACCAAACAACAAGTGAATTCAGAAAAGCCGATTTAAAGGTGCTGCAGAACAAGATTCATCACATAATTACTCAGACAACACTAAATTTTCCACAAATGAAACAGGGTCATAGAAAGATAAGATTTTTACAATTCATTTCTTAAATATGGCCAATGAGCTTCAAACCCTTTTCTTGTAAATGCTAAATAAAAACAAAATCTATATTATTTAAGAACCTCTTCATGATCCAATTTTGAAAGGGACAAAAAAAACATTTACTCAATCAAAAGACAAACCATTATAAACAATCAAACCTCTTATGTCAAATATATTTTAATGGTATTACCAAATAAACCAACTCCCCAATTATTTTTCACGCTAGCAGTAATGTTTCAAGGAACCCTCATTTCATTATGCCCTATTTAGAAAGGGGAAAAAAAAAGAATTAAAGACATGAAATATCAATAATATTTATTCACTTTTTTTTTTTTTTCAAAAAACCAGTTTTTATATCTTTGAGTTGCATTGATAGGAAAAACAGAATTCGGATTATGTAACATGAAATGCCTTGACAAAATTACTATACTAATAAACAAATTCCTGAAAAAACAGCGAAAACAGGAAGACAATTATGAGAGCCTTTTATTCTCTGTTTTGTAGCATAAAATGAAAACGGAAAAAAAAGGAAATTCAAATGATCGGAACACATAAATAAATGTTATCCGATAAGAGTGTATCATCAAAATAACAAACTAAAAACCAAAAGCCAAAAGAAACACTGTTTTCATCTTGATACTGTTATCATTTCACTGACTAGTGCAAGGACATATGACTATGGCTGGATTCAAAGAAAATGAAGATGGTAGAGAAAGTTAGAGAGAATTACCTGGAAAATGAGGCTATGGAGATTTTTGAACCACAGAGGGGCAGAGGGAGGAAGAAGGAACCGGAATGGTCTTGCGTACTCTGTATTTGCGATGAGAAATTATAACTGCTGAGAACTGGATACGCAGAGTTCAAAAGAATGTGACACGTACTCGGTTTCTGTTTTCTTCCACCGACTAGAATGTTCGGCCCATTTGTCTGAAATTTCAATTAGCCCATCAGGATTTTCCAGCCCCTTCGATCATTTTCTTTTTCATTTTCTTATTTTGACTTTTGAGCCCTTTTATTCCTTTTCATTTCTGTCATGCAAATTTGTTTATTTTTTGTTATTTTAAATAGTTATGATGTCCACGGATCATTATTTATTTAGATAAATTTCCGAAAACTAAACTATAAATTAAAGAACAATTCTATTTACACGAACCAACACCTTATGATGCAAAATTTGATAATACGCTTTATTTTGATACTAAATCTTCAATATTACTTATTCGTCGTAGTAAATCTCCTTAGAACTTTTTTTTCCCACTACGTTGCGTACCACCCCTTTTTTTTTTTTTTTTAAGATCAAAATTGGATAATAGTAACGAGGTATTTTTAGCTAAATTTAAGATGATAAGAAGCGCCATAAATAATAGAGCAATAAAAGAAGCATTAAGTTTTTGCATTTTCATGCCAATGAGTGTCCTCCTCCCTCCTAAGGAGAGATCTCATATTAGAACAACAATAGAGGGCCAAAAAAAAAAAAAAACCAACCGCAATTGCAATCATCAATGGCTCTCCCTTTGTAATTTAATGGGAGGAGAGACATGGTAATGGTTCGGTTCGAATAATAAACCGAATCGAAACCAAGTCATTAAAAAATCGAATCGAAACTCGTTAAAACCATAATCTTGATCAAACCGGACCGTAATCGGCTATTACGGGTTGGTTATGGTTTAAGGTATCATGAAACCGAAATCGATAATTCTAAACCGACGGTTAATCGTAGAACCGGCGATTTCACATTTTTCTTAATAAATTTGGATTTGATCGAAAAAAAACAAAAAAATTTAAATAAAAAAACTAATTTTATATGGGATGGACGAGTAGCTATTGGACTCGAAAAATGAAAAAAAAAATTAAGCCTAATAATTTTTAATTTTTGGACTTATATATATATAGCGACCATTTATAAAACGGTCACAAACATTTGTGACCATTTTTTTTTCTTTTCTTTTCTATAAATACCCTCTCACTCTCAATTTTTTTCATTCTTCTCACAACTCAATATCTCATTCTCTCTCGATCTCTTAAACTCTTAAGTTTAGAATTCTCAATACTATCCTATAATATTTTTTATACTCCAAATACTTTTTAAATTTTTAAATTTCTATTGTTTTATACTACAAAAAATGACAAGTTCAAGTTCACATATGTCATCACAACAAAGTAATACCGCCAATCAAAATCGAGCAGGGGAGCAACAACAACAATTAAATTTTACACCTAGATCATTCGACATCTTCAAAATTTATTTCTCAAAAGTTCCATTAGAAAAAGGTATTTTTACCGTGATTTGCAACTACTACAAAAAGCAATACACATTCAAACAAGGAAGTGGTTATGGAACATTCAAAACCCACTTGGAGAAAAAACATCCATTTGTACTTGGTAATGATAGACATCGGACACAAATATCCGGATTTGCTTCTCAATATTCCTCTTTATTTCAAGTATAGTGATAAAAAAATAAAATAAAGAAGAAATGGCTAAAATGATATGTGTTGATCATTTATCTTTTAGTTTTGGTCAAAAAATGGGTTTTAGTGATTATTATTCTAACGCTTTGAATCCTCGCTTTCAAACAAATTGAAAGACATTCTTTAAAAAAAACAGTTATAAAATTATATAGAGATAAAAAAAGAGAATTAACTCGTATTATTTGTAAATTTGAATGGTAGTATTTCTATATGTTCCGATATATGGTCCGATCAATGGTAAACTCACTCTTTTATGAGTATAACTTGTCATTGGATTGATAATGAATGGCACATGCAAAAACGTCTTCTTGCATATAGAGTTTTTGATGATAAACATACCGCTCAAAAAATATATAAAATACTAAAAAGGATTTTAGATGAATATGTTTTACCTTTAAGAATATTTTCAATTTCTTTTGATAATGCTAGTTCTAATGATCCTTCGAGTAGAGTCTTTAAGAGAACTTTGTCAACCCCATCTTGGAGGTAAGTTTTTCCATATTAGATGTGTATGTCATGTTTTAAATTTATGTGTGCAATCTGGTTTGGAATATCTTAGAGATATTGTTAGGCCAATTAAAGCTCTTGTTAAATATTTATGGACACATCCCCAAAAGATGAAATCATGGGGAAAGTTTTGCAAAGAAAGAAACAAAAAATCAAGACGATTTTCAAAAGATGTTCCAACTCGTTAGAATTCAACTTATGACTTACTTAGGCGATCATTTGAATATCGAGATTTATTATGCTCATTTTTTTCGGAAAATATTGATTCTGTTTTTATTTGTCAAAATGATTTTGATATTTACAAAACACTTTTGGAACTTTTAAGTGTTTTTAACAATGCAACATACATTTTTAGTGCCGTTTATCAACCAACTTCACATTTATTTATGATTGAAGCAATTAATATTGTTGAAGCTTTTAATCATGTAGAACAAGATATGCCAACTTTACATGTTGTTGTTCAAATAATGAAACAAAAATGGTTAAGTTATTATGAAACAATTTCACCTATTTATCTTGTCGCTTTAGTCTTTGATCCTAGATTTAAAATGGAAGGTCTTTCTCGCTATTTTGAATATTACTATGAGTATTTGCAATTATTTGATAAAAATGTAGAAATAGAAACCGCTTCTATTATAAAACAGAGTTAGAGATTTATATATTGAAATGTCTTTAACTCGTGGGTGATCAACATGCTAGTTCCTCTTTACCACCCGTGCCACAATCATCATCAAGTAACCAACGCGTTAGAGCCGATTATCTTATGGCCATGGAAAGGACAAAAAGGCCAAGAGGATCATCATGCTCCACTTCCGAGCTTGATATTTATCTAACAACTGTGTTTGAGTTTGATGATAGCAATGCGAGTGTAGATTTTGAAGTAATTGATTGGTGGAAAAGACATGCGAGCACCTTTCCAGTCCCGTTCATAATAGTTAGACAAATACTTGTCGTGCCAACTTCAACAACGACCGTTGAAAGAGCATTTAGCTCCGGAGGTAATATTTTGGATGATAGGCGATCACAATTGGCTTCGAGTCACTTGAAGCCCAAGTATGCGTGGATGATTGGATAAGAGCCGACAAGAGAACACAAGAACAAAAACAATATGATTTCAATGAAGAAAGTATGGATCTAACACTCGACGACACAACAATAGAAACTTCGAAATCGGAACTTCCAATCAAGAAAGTAACTAGGCGCAATTATATAAAACATAAATGTAATTTGTAAAGAGGCAATTTGAAATGCAAAAGAGAATTACGTAAGTTTTGATTCTTCTAAACCCTAAGAGGATGCGTAGGAAGCTTAATTTTTGTAGTATTTACAAAAATTAAATTCAAGCCCTTATTTATTTATTTTTTCCTTTGATTTATTGTGTGAAATACATTATAATGTATAAATATTATAATATTTATACATTATGTAAAAAAGAAGTTTTTTCGTTTCAATGTTAATGTTGAGAAAAAATGTTCGATTATTTTTAATTTTTCATTTAATAAAAAAATCGTTGAACCGTCGATTTCAAACGGTTTGAAACCATCGGTTTTACGATTTCAAACCGAAACCGTCCATAGAAGGTTAGGTTAAGGAACCGTTACCATGACTGGGAGACAGCACAAGAAAGCACAGAATGCTAGAAAGATGATAAATCAAAGATCCTCATTTAACCAGGCCCGGTTCATGGTTCGTGCAGCATGGGCACAACGTTGAATTAAATTTTCCAGTTAAAACAAGCATGGAAAGATACTGCTATGCAAACCAGACTCATCTCTATATTTCAATTCAAATGGTACAGCAGAACTTACAAAAACATCAGCAGAGCACCACGTGCTGAAAAAGTTACATTCCTTATCTTACAATTCTCAAGCTCCTGATACTTGGAACAAGAAATAAAACATCAGCCATTCATGCCATCCCCACTATTCAAGCAATCTAGGTATTGCTTCACCTGATCAGTTTCTTAATGCAATGCCCCCCTGCCCTCTCTTGCTCTCTCCTGCTATTTCTACAAGATATCCGTGGGAATGAATGGTTAGGAGCAAATTAGCTGCTGGAAGGTTGTATACTGGTTAATTTATGATGGAACGTTTTGTGGTTCTCCATATCTATTGTTACAGAAGGAAAAGAAAAAAGAAAAAAAATCCTAATTCATGGATGCACATTTGCTGCCTAGAATTCCTGGGAATCAAAGTCGGGTTTTGATGGATATTCAAGACCCTGAAGTGCAGGCATTCGCCGTATATCTTCGTCTGAATAAGTTGGAATGAACCAGTATCGCTTATCTACCCCAAACACCTGAAACACAAGCATAACACATCGAGAATATTCAGCAGATAACCAGGAAACTGTGAAATCAAACAAAAAGCAAAGTTGAGCATACTAAGCTAGATAACAAGGCAACACAACTTGAAATCAAATGAAAGATGGTTACAGCAACTTGACATTGCACTTTCACAATATATTACGTCAAATGATTACCATTTCAACACAGCTCGACAATATGCATGTTAAAAGTGATAAATATTAACTATGTACAATTCCAAAGGACATTAGGAACAATTTCTTAAGATAGATACAGACCTTGAACACATTCCTTAAGGCTACGAGACATTTATCATCGCTACATAACATTGGCATGCTATGATGTTCTTCTGGTTTATAGTAAAAGAATACTATGGCATTGCCTTTTGACAATGAATTGAGTGTTGAGTATGCAATGCTTATTGTATTTTATAGCCATCCTCCAATGAGGATTCTCACACCTTTCATACATGTAATTTGACTAGAAATAATTCAAAGAGGTAATAATATCACAAGTACATTAAAGCAGTGACAGCTTTAGTTTGACCTTTTCTTAGCTTTCATACAGGGCACTGATGAAAAGAAAAAAACATAAAAAATAAATTGCAGAAGGTACTTACCTGCTCAAAGTTCTTTTTTCGACCGAGGTCATAGCGCCATTTTGGGGTGGTCTTCTTCTCATATGCCTGAAAACAAGACAATAGCAGTTCAATCAGCATAACTTCTTTGACAGAGATGGAAACAATTCTAAAATAGATTCTTTCAAATATTGGTGCATCAGGACAGGAGACCCACAGAAACCGAGCAAATTGAACATCAAAGATCAGAGCCATGAACATTCATGACTACAAGCATGGGGCAAAGCAACACATTGATGTGATATAAAGACTCTCCAGTACAGTAGCTAAACTATTCCCAAATCTACTCGTCTACCAATTTTTATTAGACATTGACACTGTATAAAGAGTCATCACGGTTTCTCATATCACATCCACAAAGCAGGCAAAAGCGACACCTAATGCCACAAAAACAAAAAGCAAAAGCTGCAAGTATTGACATCTGGTAGAAACACACAAAGTTAAGTGAAAGAAATACCTCAATAGTTGTGGTATTAGCAGACACCAGAGATATGTGCATGATCAGAAATCCCATAACACTCAATGCAAACGCCAGATTTAAGACTGTAAAACAACACTAATAGTTTTAGAAACCACAGACTTCACCATTATGTAGGTCAGAAAGCTAGGCTAAGTAGAACTTACCAAAGGCAAGAAATGTGGTTGCAAGGGTGCCTGGAGTCCCAGGAATTTCTCCATCACTAAAGAATGCTATAAAGTGTGGTAGAAGAGATAAAGTTACAAGGCTTGTCTCAAGAAATGTGTAGAACTGCATCAACATTTAAGATTGCAATTAATTAGATATAAAAAAAAAAAAATCCCATGTCAAGCTACCACAACCAGGTAGAAACTCCAAATAAAAAGGAGCATATACTCAAAACCAAGTAAGCTTTCCTTGCGCCAGCAACTATATCTTATAGCAAGCTTTTCTATTTGAATATATATTTATCAAGGTTTTAAAACGTGAACAACCTTCTAAAGTCCAGACAATTTCTTCTCCTTTGCATGTCAAAGGAAAAACAAAAAGAGAGAAAAATGAAAACAACAAAAACTCATGAATAATATGACCTCTTAAGTCATCAGGTTCAAAAGGCAGACATTGAAATTCATGTTGCTGGTGTTTGACTATCCACAGAAAATTTTGTCCAGGTTAAACCAAACTCAAAACCAAAAATTCCCGCATTGTAAAACAGCCTAGGCTTTATCTTCCAATTTATGCAAGAAAGTAGTGTGCTGCTGGTCTGATCACATGATTTATTACCATTGTATGCTAATATATAAACAGGCAGGTAGCTCAACATTAGTCAAAACTCAACACACTGCAAGCATATTTCGACAACTATTTCTGTACCAAACTTAGAACTGCAGATACCTCCCTCTGCCTACCAACTGGGACATGAAGCAAAAGCATCAATCAACTCCAAACCACAATTATGCTTACCCTTTAAACAAAACAAAAGCCTATCCAGATAAACAGCTCTTTTATAAGCTCAGGGATACATCAAAAACAGACATTTAGCCAAAAGGTACAGAATGAAGCACATTATTTCAGCTAAAAAAGAGTTTTTGAATTAGGAAACCTTTGTGGGGTGAGGCAGTAAAGCAAACTTACCAAAAATAGAAGAAAGTACTTATAATTTAAGGCCCCAACACAATTTACAACCCATACGCAATGATGGTCCATCTTTAGTACACACCTCCCACCTGAAACAAACAGAACATCAAATATTATTGTCTTTAATAGAAAAACTAACTAAAGATAAAGAATGCTATATAGGAGGTGATTGTATAGAAGCTCACAAACAGAACAATGGTGGCAACGAGGTGGTTTCAGCTGGTTGCACTTCCGGCAATAACGGATTCTTTGATTTGATTGGTGAGGCTGCACTCCACTAAATTCTGACCCATTCAACGGGTCGGCCTCCCCCTTTCTTCGTCAGTTGCAGGCCTCCAATTAGGAGGCACACTACCAGGATCAGTTAAAACGACAGAAAAGTAACTCCATAGTAGCATAACTAACTGCAAATTCAGACAAAAAAACTCACTTAAGTAACCACTATAACCAATAAATTGCTGTTTTTACACTATTTTAAGCTATAGATTTAACTTCTTTTTTCTCCTTAGATTCGCAAGAGACATTTTTTAGCTCCGTCTCAATTTTCTGAACTCGAAACTAAAAATAAATAAATAAAATAAAATCCTAAGATCCTCAAAAAACCACCTTTCAAGAACTTACTAGCAACCCCCCCCTCCCCACCAAATATATATGTATATATAATCAACAATTAGAAAAAAGAAAAGCCCCAAATCTAAGACCCAAAAGAATTCTACAACAAAAAAAATATTTTTTTGCTTGATAGAATCTTACCAAAGAATGGAATGGGATCAAGACAGAAAAAGAAATGAAAGAATCAATGCCACCATCATACATAGCAGGGCCATAATTATTCAAAACAACGGCGTAATATGTGACACCAACAACGCCAAGCACCAACAAGATCATGATCGAGCCTAAACCCCTTAAGGCCGTACAAAACTTGAACACATTCCAAGCCATAACAGCTCCAGATCTATGCATACTAATACTAAAATTAAAAAAGACTCAAACTTTTCAAGTTTTCTTTGATGGGGTTGTAGTAGACTGTGAATTAAAGTGGTAATAACTTGAAAACAATCTAGTCAGGAAAAAAGAGGAAGGGTTTTTTGACTTGTTGGTTTTGGTGTTTTTGAGTGATTTTTTGTGAATTATTATTATTATAGGGTTATTGAATTTGGGATTTCTAGGATTTCTGGAACAGGTGAGGAGTGGAATCCATGCTACACAGGAGAAAGGTTTGTTATGTGTGTCCGTGAGGCAAGAGGGGAGAGAGAAATTTATTTTTATTTTTTTCTTGTTTTTGTTAATTAATAATTAATGGGTTAGCTTGAGACAAATTTGGGTGAAAGAGATGATGGGTTTTGATGTGAAGTAATCGAACAGCAAGAGAACTCTTAAAAGGGAAACGACAACAAATCCCAAATAAATCATTTAATGTTTTCATTTTGGCGATGGCTCTAGTAGCTGGTATCGGACCTTCTCGTATATGAGTGTGACTTTGTATCTTGCATGCACTAATTAATGAGATTTCTTTTGAGAGAATCAATAATAGAGTAATTTATAAATTAATCTTTCTAGTTTTGAAATAAATTAATCAATTCTTTTCATTTCAAAAATTATTATTTAATTATTTAATTAACATTGATCATGTTTAATTTTATATTATTTTTATTCCACATAATCTTTTTATTTTCTCATCATTCTTTTCATATTTTTTTACTTTTTTATTTCTTAAAAAAAATTAAAAATAAATACAGAAAATTAAATTATAAATAAATTTCAAAATATAATAATTAAATAATTAATTTTTAAAACAAGAGAGACTAATTAATTTATTTCTCAAAACAAGAGAGACTAATTTATAATTTACTCATCAATAATCAATAACAGTTTTAATCAGATTTTTAGTAAAAGTTGTAGGATGGTAAATTGTTTGGATTTTTTATTTAAAAATATATAGATTTATAACTGTAAAATGAAAACAGAGAATGCATAATAATTCCACATGTGAAAATCGAAAGAATGAAATAAAATTTTAAACTTGGGGAACTTTTTTAAAAGAAAATTGTTAATTATATTTTAATATTGAATTACGAAAAAAAAAGTCATTATCGATTAAGCATTGTTTTCTCAGGACGACAAGATTTTTCTTGAAAATTTATCACTTTAAAATAAACCAAAGGTGCTTCGTCAGCCACAGTTGATTTTTTTATTGATTAATCCATGTATGTTACAGCTGCCATTCTTGTAAATTATATCTGTAGACCCTCCAACCAAACATTTTGGACGTAAAGCTGTTTTTATCTTTGTGTTTTTTTGTACGTATAAAACAAGCTATTGCGGGTGGAAAATCATGGCTGGAAGCCTGGAACGTTAGATACAATTGTTTATTTGCTGTTTTGTATTGGATTAATTGTTGTAAAAGTCACTTTATTCTTTCTTTTCTTTTTTATGTGTCTTTTTACTTTTTTTTTAGTTTGACTTTATTTTTTTTAACTTTTTAGTCTAACAGGATTAAAATTGCACTATTGGCATCCTATAATTGTGACACTTGCCGATTTATTTTTTCCGTCTTAATTTTATCGTTTTTCTTTTTTTAACCAAATTTAAATAAAAAAAATTAAAACAAAATGCTGGAAAAAAGTGAAGATAAAATTTTTTATTAAAAATATCATTTATGGGTTTAAATATATCTCTATAATAGTAAGCTAATTTTAAGTATAAAATAAAATATCTATAGTGTTTTTTTAAAAAAAATATGAAGAGAGTTTTAGTTAAAATTTTAAACTTTTAAGTAGTATTTATAAATATATAATATCTCAAAAGAGTCTAATGCAATTTATTTATTTTGAGTTTATAAATTTTTTAATTTAACTTAAGAGTGGAAATATAAATTTTGTTGAAATTTTTTAGAAAAAAATTTTGTTGCAAATTTTTGGTTTTTTTTTTCCATCTCAACAAGAGGCTAAAATGAAAACGACACAAAAAAAATATTTTTTTATTTATAAAAGACATTAATGTCATGGATGATATAAATTAAGCAAATGCATCTTCATCTTTATACAATAATAACATCAAAGACCAGAAAGATATACCAATTTGTTATATTAAAAAAAAAGACAAAACTATTTTATACTGGTGTTGAATAATAATATTTTAAATAGTAGATAGTCTCTTCATCCACATGAACAAAAGTTTACCTAAATTTTTTGGTAAAGAATATCCAAGATGATTTTTTTAAGCATACTACTCATACAATCGAAATTAACACTACCATCTATTAAAAAAAATCTCAACCACCTAAAATTCTCAAAGAACATCAACTATTTTGAACTAATAAAAAACATCTGCACAATTCAGTAAACGGACATCAATCTTATTTAAATGACAAAACATTCTAATAAAATAGAAACTTTATGCACAAATCGAATTTAGATACAAATTGTTAATACACTAAAAAGAAAAGAAAAGAATATAAAGGCTGCCGTTGATAAAAAAAAAAAATCAGGGCAGTTAGGGTTGTTTTCCGAAGAGAGACTAAGAGGAAGGAGAAAAAGAATATATAGCATATGAAAAATTTTTTTTATCATTTTTTATAAATATGAATATAATTTTTTTTTATTTATTTTTTTTAAAAATAGATTTAAAAAATAACTATTGTACATGTCTTGTCGCGTGTGTGTATATATATATATATATATATATATATATATATATATGATAAAGAAGAAGAAGAAGAATGATCCAGTTAACGAGGGAAATGCGCAAGTCCTCCCTGCTCGAGAGTTCTATTAAAATAATCGATGCTCCAGGCCCAATAATATGATATACAAATCCAAACATCCCCGGCCCACGGCCTCAGACCTCCTCTTTCGTCCGTCTCCAAAGTCCAAATATACTTCTTTTGCTACAAACAAAAGGGAAGGTTCAAGGATAAAAAAACAAAAATCCAGAATTACATACGATCAACGTCAATGGCAAATATGATTATGAACAGCGATGGATGACTTTTGAACAGGGCTCGATTGCGATGTTAGTTTCCTCCCATTGTTGCTGTTTCGGAGTTGTATTTAAATACAAGGTTGTGAGAAAGAAGATTCTCTTAGAATCAATAATTTAGGTATAGAGCACGGCATGGCTAATATATATTTAGTATATTATAAAATGCTTTCAGTTTTGATATACCAAATTAAATTGTTCAAAAAACAGCTCATAAAATAACAACGACTGTTAGCTATTATAATTAACCACGACTTAGTTTGACATAAATTTATTTAATTTTGGATCCAGTTTCTTAAGAAATATTATATATTAGTTCAGAATTTACCACTCAATATTGTAAAATCCAATCAATTCAATTTTTATATATGAGACAAAAATAACTATACCAATAAGATGATTATAATCGTTTTAATTAAAATACCTTTTTTTTTAATTGTGATAGAAATCCCATGCTTTTATGTAAACATGAAATTTTATTTTCATGTTATTGTGTGATCGTTAGGCTTTTTTAACTGAATAATATTGAGTTGGAATTCCATAATTTTCTACAAATATGAAATTTTGTTTCTATATTATTGTGTAATTATTGATTTTTTTAACTCAATAATGTTGAGTTGGAATAACAAAAACAGTGTAGAAAAATTCTGTTTTTAATTACGAAGATCGTACAAAAAATCCCAACATATATTCATTCGCTCAATTAAAATATTTTTCTAGGAAAGGCATGCAATCATACTATACATAGTTTTTCTTCTTCTTCTTCTTCTTTTTTCCCCCCTCTCCTTAAGAGTGGCGAAATTTGGAATGAGACGTCTTTTGACTTGTTTCCGATATCATCTTACAAATAACTAGAAGTGAACCTAATTTATTTTGAATTTTTGGTTTTAGTTTGGTTTTTGAAATTTTCGGTTTGGTTTTAACTTTTTTTTTATTAGAAAATATTTAGATTTTTAGTTGTTATTTGAGCTTTGATAGTTTTATTTATAGCATTTCTGAATAATATTTTGATAGTTTGATTTATAACAAACAATATTTTTTTTTATCATTATATATTTTAGATGTGGATTTATATTTAAATTTTAATACTTTATTATGTGGTATGATTTGTTGCTTTAATTTTATTTAAATAAGTATTTTTTTATATAGACTAATTTAACCTATTTAGACTAGAAAAAAGACTTCATAGTTCATAACACAATTTTTTTTATCTATTTATATCATTTTAAAATATAAAAAATTATAAAAAAAAAATCAATTTTTTATTTTAAATTTGATCTTCGCTGAAAACACAAAAACCTAAAATCAAAAATTTTAATTTTTAAACCAAAAAACTAATTTTTTATTCCGTTCAGATTCAATTAACTGAAAGTTGAATGGAAATATTAAAAACCAAACAGAAAAATTAAATGATCACTCTTAATTATGAGGCTACTTGAACAAACTTTTACAATTCGATCCTCTGTTAGATCTTACCCTGGTGAAGTACTTTTCATAATAAATATTCACTCGCCTTTTTATATATGTTATCTCCTAGCAAAAATGAAACGAATAAATTAAATAGTTAACTTTTTTTCAAAAAAAAAAGAAAAAAGAGAGTGCCTGAACATAACAGTCATTTATTGATTTTAGTTGTAATAGCAAGTATATGATGATATTGTTTAATTCATTATGTCATTGTAATAATGTTACTAGGTATATTTCTATGTTAATTTAATGATTTTATTATTTCTGGAGTCTTATCTAATCATACAAACTTTTGGATTCAATTATTATTTTACATTCTCAATATTGGGGAAAACTATGTAGATAAGTGTTTTTGATGGATTATTCTACGGTCGTTGTGAAAAGAGCTGGATACTTAACTATAAATGTGAGGAAAAATCTCATATTTTAATCTAGTTTTTGGAATCGAAAAAGTTTAATAGCACTTAACACAAATATTAGAGCCTCCGTTAACAATTTTTTGTGTGTGATGTCAAATAAGTTAACCAATTTAAAACTTAATGTTTAAAGAAAGAAATTGTCAGGTTACCCACATTGGTTATGAAAGAGATCTGATACTTTAGTATAAGTATAAAAAGAAAATCGTTTTTTGAGTTAGTTATTAGGATTGATCAAACCAATAACATCCAACATCTGTTTGCCGATGAGAGACTCCAGATGTTCAATGCAAGACCAGAGAGTTCCAATGAGACCATGGAAGGGTGCAAGGGAGTATTGGAACCAGAAGGGATAGCCACCAAAAGGTCCATGGAAGTAACCTTAGGTGAAAAGATCATTTTTTGAGATAGTTATTAGGAATTAGACCAAATGCTCTGGAATTTGCTGAACATGGATTGGATCTAGTGACTTTGATTCCTTCTTTTGTTCTTGGTCCGTTCAACACTCCTAGAATCCAGGCTCGGTGTACATGGGACTGGCTATATATGATCACCCGGTTTCACAAGAAATCATACTAAATCAAATCTTCATTTTTTTAAAAAAAATTAAAAGACTTAACGAGTATATATCCAAGGGCCAAGGAACTGATTAAGGTTTATTTAATATGTGTGACCAACTAGCACTAATCAATGCAATCATCAAAATCATGGTTGTTAGTTGTCAGACCCAATCCATCCAGAACCTGATATGTCAATATCCCAAGTTACTTGATCGGTAGTTGGATGCACCTGTCATGAATAATATAAACAACAACTACATTGAATTTTATATTTAAAAAAATTATTAAATTTTGGAAAAAAAAAAAAAACAAGTTTCAAGTTTTCGTTGATCAAATTTGACTAGATCAATGTCTTACATCTGATTAAAATTCCAATATTACAGATCATCAGCTAAATCTTACAATAACAATCGACTGTAAAGATATTTCAACATGTATCCTTGATTAAATGTGCAGGCCGGCAAGAGGAATCTATATCGACTGATTTTATAAAGTCAAATATGGTACATCTAGATGATGTGGCTACGGCATATATCTTCCTTCTCGAATATCCTTGAAGGAGATTACAGGTTAGAAACCATGTGGCCTCGATCTAGTCCAAAAAACAATTGGATTGGATTGCAGATTCAAATTTAAGCAGGGTCTTGCCGACATGTTTGATGGAGCTATCATCGGCTGCAAGAAGAAGGGATTTATTTAAATTTATTTTGATAGCAACTTATATTTTTCAAGTTAGTTAATCAATTAATGCAAGGTTATTAAGGTACAGTACTGTCGTGATTCGGAATCATTCTTTCCATGATATTCACCTCCCTCCCTTTTATTTATGCTAGTGTGTGGATTTGGACCATCTTTGTCTTACTGTTATTGGAAACCATTGATTTCGATTTTTTTTTTAATTATTATTATTACAAAGATGAACTCAAATCTGAATTCTTCAAGTAAAGAGGAACATAAATACCAATCGAGTTGCAAGTTTGTTGGCCCTGATTTCCTTTTTAATAACTCACTCTTGATTTTTGTCGTGTTTTTTCTCGAAGTTAAAAGGCAAAAAGGTCTGTTGAGAGAGATTCTGTTTGTCATTTATATTTTTCTTGTTTTTGTAAGTAATTAATGAGTTATTTAGAGGGATAATAACTTGAGCAAGATGTTGGGGGTTGAGATTAAGTATAACAGCACTTTCTTTCTTAAAATAGTAGAAATTGACGAAGACCAGCCATTAAACCATGCCTTTTTCTTTTCTTTTCCTTTTAGTGAATGATCTATAAGGTTTGTTGCATTGATGTTTGATTACGAACTGTTTATAGTTTACTTTTGGTGCAAGGAAAATTTAAATGGAACCAGTGCGGGAAAAATGAATAAAAGAGTGTGTTTTAATGGTAGAAAATGGAAATAAAAAAAGAGTAGAAAAGAAACAGGTAATTAAGAAGAAGAAGATTGCAGAAATAGAGAGACGTGAAATTAGAGACAATTAAGACACTCTTGGATTTGAGCTTTATACACGTGGTCCAATAATTTCTTCTTCTTCTTCTTCTTTTTTCCCCATAAATAGGAACCTGCAGGCTGCCCACTCATGCCATTTTTATAGCACTGTTTTATATAGATATATATAATTACTCTGTACTCACTCAGTTGTTAGGACTATTTGTTACAGCTTTGTGGTTACAAGTGAGCATTTCTAGCCAAAAATATTGACCGTTCGAATTCCATATTAAGATTATTTCTGAAAATATCAACCATATCCATATTAATAAAATTTTTCGTTCATTTAATCTATAGATTACGGCTAGCAAAAGACTTTATATATGTATATATATCAGTCTATCCTGCCTGGCCCACTCTTGCATGCTTCTTTTGGCGCTAACATAGAGGAAAGAAAAAAGAAGCATCCCAATATATATATATATATATATACATGACAAATATTATTACTGATACCAGTTGACGATAGCTCTTGTTAATGGTGAATTTTTACAAATATTTATTAGGATCCAGTATTTAAATAAGCGTAGAATATTATCTATGTGAACACAAATTAACAAAGGGCTCTTTATTCCCCCCTCGAATTTTCAGTCCTGAGAGAATACTTAACAGTAGTGTAATGTTGTTGTTGGACTGGCACATAAGGAGACGGTTTGTCCAGTATCCTTGTCTTATTAGAAAATAACTGGGCAAAATGATTTAAGTCATAGAACATAAATTATCTGAAGTCACTTAGTTTACATATTGTTTTCATCGAGGATGTATGCATAAATATGTGCCTGGAGTAAGGCAGCTTGTTAATTAATGCAGTGTCTCAAACCTCAAAGTGCAAGAAAAAGGATCAGAGGAGATTATATAAGAATAAATTAAATGGAAAGATCAGGGAAAGGTGTGGTCTGTGTAACTGGTGGAACAGGATTTGTTGCTTCATGGTTGATTACGAGGCTCCTTGAACAAGGTTACACTGTTCGAGCCACTGTAAGATCTTACCCAGGTGATAATTTCTTACTCATCTTTCACTGAAATGCTTACTTTTTTATATATCTTTCACAGCCTAGCAAAAATGGAGAGAAAATCATTACTTTGTTGCCTCAGGATTTGTGTTTTTTTGTTGAATGGTGGATTTCTTTTGATGCGGTGTTACCACTTGAGATAAATTGAAGAATATCAAACTTGAGGGAGCCCGACCCAAAAAGTTGTAGTCATAGGAATTTAAACGTGATTAAAGGAAGCTGCTATATATTGGATACACAATTGGCATAAATCAAACCTGTGTGTACTCCAGTACCGTATTTATCCCATAAACAGTGATTAGAGTTAATCCCACAAATTATTGTTAGCCAAATCCGATTGTTAGCACAATTTTTTATTGATTTTGCCGATCGAGGCGCAAATGATCATGAATTGGTAACCCTTTTACCGTTATAGGGTCAGAAGGTAACAGGGACATCAGCTACCTCACAGACCTTCCAGAAGCAAAAGAGAAACTCGAAATTTTTAATGCAGATCTTGACAAACCAGAGAGTTTCAATGAGGCCATTAAAGGATGCACAGGAGTCTTTCATCTCGCTCATCCAGCTAATTACACGAACAAAGAACCAGAAGAAACTGTCATCAAAAGATCCGTGGAAGGAACCTTAGGCATTTTGAAGGCGTGCCTAAACTCGAAGACTGTGAAGAGAGTTGTGTACACTTCAAGCATATCAACAGTTTTGTACAGTGGAAAAGATCAACAAGTGTTGGATGAGAGTGCATGGACAGACATAGATTACTTTAGAAGTTTAAATGCTGTTGGCAATTCTTCACCGATTGTCAAGACAAAGACAGAAAGGGCAGCTCTGGAATTTGCTGAACTACATGGATTGGATCTAGTGACTTTGATTCCTTCTCTGGTTGTTGGCCCATTCATTTGTCCTAAAATCCCAAGCTCTGTGCACATAGGACTGTCTTTGATATTGGGTATGTTTTAGTGCAAAATCTTAAGTTACAGACTAGTATTATTAAATCTACAACATTAATTCTAGCAGGATCTTTCAACATCTTTAAATGTGCAGGCAACAGGGATCACTATCGATTTCTTGCCAGGTCGAATATGGTACACGTAGAAGATGTAGCTATGGCACTTATCTTCCTGCTTGAATATCCTAATGCAAAAGGGAGGTACATTTGTTCATCTGACGAAATATCACTCATTGAGCTGTCTGAATTTCTTTCTGCTAGATACCCCAGTCTTCAAATTCCAACCACAGAGTGAGTTACCTATTTTCCTATACTTGTTTCTAATTTTGGCTAGATTTTTTTTCTCTTATTACTATTTTTTTTTTAAGAATTAATAATATCATCCCTCTTGAGTACTGCAGATCCTTGAAGCACATTGAAAGTTTTAAAACATTTACCCTCTCATCTAGGAAGCTCTTGGACTGTGGATTCAAATTTAAGCATGGTCTTGGAAACATGTTTGATGGAGCTATACAATACAGCAAGGAAAAGGGATTTTTATAAAAAAAATATGTATCTCTATCATCTTAGCTAAAAGTTATATCTTCTTTTCTTTTGTTTTTGTTACTTAATGTAATGTAATGTGTACTGTCATGATTAATTTGTACTAATAAATTCTCCCCATGATCATCTCCTCTCTTTTCTTTTATGTTAGTATCTGGATTAACTGGGCAATCCTATCTTCTTGTTAAAGGAAAATTATTGATTCCCAACTTTTTTTCTTTAATAAGCTACTTAATTTTATTTATAGTAGTTTTTTTTGCTTAAAAAAGATTATTAAGTTTGATTAAGTAATGGAATCATTCATCTTTTTGGAAGCTCACCTTTTCATTTACATCGTAATAAGATAGGGATCGACAACAATGTTTTTATCCATAAATAAGATATTATTGATTATTTATATGGTTTCTTTATTCATTTTTACGCTTCTTTAATAAATTTTAAAATATCACCCCTATTCGAAAAAAAAAAAAACTAACCCACTGTCTAAATGTAAATTCCATAAACTACATCAATTCTTCTCGAGTAGAAAGCCAGGCTAGTTCTTTCCATATTTTCAACTTCGATCAAAATAGTCTAAGCTAGTTTTATTTCAAATTGCAGCTACCAAATGAAAATGTGGACTGAAATACTTAAAGTTGTAGTATAGGGGTTAAATCGGCCAAAATCTACAACTCGAGACCACGTGTGTAATTCGTGTTCCTTCATATCAATCGTAACATTTTTTCTTTTATTTTTTGATAAATATTATCAATCATCACATTAATTCAATCCCTTCAAGACAATAATTTTTTTTTTGATGTCTTCTTATAGGATAAGGCAACGATGAGGTAACTCAATGGCAAAACTTAATCAGATTTCCTATTTTATGAGTTTCGCGTTAAATATTTTTCATACTTTTTGTGACCATTGTGAAGCTTAAATGATGCGTTATCTTGTGTTGAATGAAAGGAACCACACAACCCGATGTTTAAATTCAAAACATGCCCCCATAAAAATAGTCTGAATTAAGTTCTCAAATTACAAAAATAAAATATACAAAAAAGACATGGAATGCAAGTTGTTCTTGGACGGGCCCATAAAATGACGGTTTGTCCAGCCCATTGTCTCATTAAAATAACTAGGCAAAATGATCTGTAAGATCAATTTTTTAAGTCATTTTACATTGTTTTCATCGCCGGGAACGATGTGTAGGGAAATATTTGCGGGGCCGGGAGGGAGCCTTGCTATAATAAAGGCGAGCAGTGCATGACTGTCTGATCATATTGTAAGAGAAATGGAAGGATATTCAGGGAAAGGTGTGGTCTGTGTAACTGGTGGAACAGGATTCATTGCTTCATGGTTGGTTATGAGGCTTCTTGAACGAGGTTACACTGTTCGAACAACAGTTAGATCCAACCCTGCAGGTGAAGTTTTTAATTAATTACTTCGTTATTATGTTTTTCTCTCACTAACTAATCAATTCTTACCTTTTTCTATATAGAAAAAACGAAACAAAAATAATCATAATTTTTTTTCTCTGAACAAAATAATTAACTACTAATTGTTGATTTGACCATTATAATAGAAGGAATGATTGTTTTCAACTATTAATTAAGTATATCATTCCCATTGTGATTGGATTAATTGTACATATTTCTCAATGTTGAGAAAAAACAATAATATTTAGACAGGGTTAATTCGTTGCCAGTGTGTTTTATATTGAAATTACATATGCTTTTGGAAAATGATTTTGGACTGAGATAAATTTGCCAAGTGATTCAGAGATGTCCGAAAAGATGCAGAGACTTTGTAGAAAAGCAGCAACAATCTCAATATCAAAAACTGAAGTCTTTGTGGTGCATCCTGTCCCTGCTAATTAATTAATGAAAAGTGAGAAAACCTCAATCCCTCTGTCTAACTCATAAATAATGCTCATCCCACAATTGATCTTCACCAAATTTTAGGCATGACTCGTAATCGATATAGTCGCCGATAGGACTCTAACTCCACCAGTAGCAAGTTAGCAACTCTTCCCTTTTAAGAAGAAACTGTGGTTCGTTTTTGATCCAAAGCCAAAGGGAAATCGACTTCAAAAAGCATGGAAAAGAATACATTTGTGGTCACTGACAATTGAATGATCATAGGTAATCCTAGTTTTACTGATTTTACTGATTGAGGCCCAAGTAATCATTAATTGGTAATCCCTTTAACGTTATATGGCCAGAAGGTAACAAGGACATCAGCTACCTCAAAGACCTACCAGGAGCAAAAGAGAGGCTCCAAATTTTTAACGCAGAGCTTGACAAACCAGAGAGTTTCACTGATGCCATTCAAGGATGCACCGGAGTCTTTCATGTCGCTCATCCAACTGATCTTGCAAACAAAGAACCAGAAGAAATAGTCGTCAAAAGAGCCATTGAAGGAACCATAGGTATTTTGAAGGCATGCCTAAATTCAAAGACAGTGAAGAAAGTTGTTTACACTTCAGGTGCATCGACAGTTTTGTTCAGTGGGAATGGCCAAGAAGTGGTGGATGAGAGTTCATGGACAGACGTAGATTACTTCAGAAGTCTAAATGTCATGGGCAGTTCTTCTTTGGTTGCCAAGACATATACCGAAAGGGCAGCACTGGAATTTGCTGAACAAAATGGATTGGATCTAGTGACTTTGATTCCTTCTCTCGTGATGGGTCCATTCATTTGTCCTAGAATCCCACGCTCAGTATATTTGGGACTAGCCATGATATGGGGTATGTTTTCACTCTCTTGGCTCCTGGTCATATTCAACATCCCAACTATATATTTAGTTCTATTGGATATGATTTTTACAAAATAAATTAGAATGCTTTTATTTTTTTAATTAAACAAATCATAAATATGTTAATTTGATTAGAAATAATCTTAACGTATATTAAAAGATTTTACAAAATTAAGTTGTTTTAATCTAAAATTAAAATTTTGAAGTTATGGCATGTCAAACGGAAAGATTTTCTAAATTAACGGTATTCTTCATACATGATCTTTTAACTTGTTTAAATATGCAGGCAATAGGGATCACTATCGATTCCTTATGAAGTCGAATATGGTACACATAGACGATGTCGCTATGGCACACATTTTTTTGCTTGAATATGCAAATGCAAGAGGGAGGTATCTTTGTTCATCAGACGAAGTATTAATCAATGACATGTCCGAATTTCTTTCTGCTAGATATCCGGATCTTCAAATTCCAACAAAAGAGTGAGTTGCATTTCCTATATTGCATGCATGCATGTTTCTAATTATTAAAGAAAGTATTTCTGATTTATTTTTTGGACCTTATGTGTCTCTCTTGGTTGGACGCAGATCCATGAAGGACATTGAAGGTTATAAAATATGTAGCCTCTCATCCAAGAAACTCTTGGATTGTGGATTCAAATTTAAGTATGGCCTTGGAGACATGTTTGATGCAGCCATCCAATCCTGCAAGGAGAAGGGATATTTTCGTAAGGAAGACTAGTTTTTTTTTTTTTTTTTTTTCGCAGATGAAGACTAGTTTTAGTTCCCAAAATAATTGAGGTCCCTTACAAACTCCTTGGGATCATCAAATCTCTATAAGTTGAAAATTTGCGAAGTTCAAGGAAAGGGTTGCCTATAATGACAAGAAGAAATTTTTTAAGGTTTTTGCATATGTTTTTGGGCTTTACTAAACTCGGATCTAACGTGAGATACGAGGAAAGAATTTCAAAAAATATATACCAATTTGAAATAAATGTTTTAATTAAAATTAGGTAAAAAAACAAATTAAACTCGATTCATGAAAGATAGTTGGAAGATATTTTCATTATTATATAAAAAAAATCAATCAAGTTGCATTACAAAGGCACTTTATTTATTCATTTTACAATAATGGGGATCCTTGGGAGACAACTAATGTTAGGATTGAAACGTGCACAAGTTATTTGAAGAAAGGAGTAATAGATTATATAAAAGGATCCAAATGTCATGCTTTACTTGTAAAAAAAAGAATAAAACACGTGTCAAAAGCCACTTTAACCTTTTTTAAAACATGCCAACAGGGGCATATTGTCTTATTACCTCTTTTCAAACATGCCAACAGGGGCATATTGTCTTACATATTGTCTTTATTAACATGCCAACAGGGGCATATTGTCTTACATATTGTCTTATTAACATGCCAACAGGGGCATATTATTTTACCTCTTTTCAAACATGCGAACATGGGCATATTGTCTTATCACCTGTTTTCAAACATGCCAACAGGGGCGTATTGTTTTACCTCTTTTAAAACATGCCAACAGGCCAACAGGGGCATATTGTGTTATATAAGGATGAACATTCGGTAAAATAGTTCGATTTTATACGATTCGATTCGATTTTTATTTAATCGAATTAAGAAAAATTAAAATTAAAATCGAACTGAAATAAATTCGGTTTGTAATTGAATTATTTCGGTTTGGTTTCGAAATATTTCGGTTTTAACCGAAATATTTTATTGTAAAAAAAAATCATTACGGAGACATGTTTTGTATCAGCACTTAGTCCATTAACCAATGAAGTAACATCTTGTTATTAATTAATCCTTTTTATAGACAATCACAAAACCCTTAAAGATTTTAACTAGGCTTTAATGAAAATCAATCAAAGTGTAATTGATTTTGTTATTCAAACACATTGTATCCCAATTAATTACACTCTGTCATTTCTTTTCTTACCTCAACGGTCTTTAAAATTTACTTCTCATCCGTGTGTTTCAATTTCAGCAAGAATGAAGATTGAAAAGTTAGGGATTTAGAGATTAGGAAATTTTTTACTATTTATTTCGGTTTTCGATCGAAACCGAAATTTTTTTCTAAAAACCGAACCGAACCGAAATAATTTTGGTTTTTTCGATTCGGTTTTATATTGTATAATTTTACATTTAAAATCAAATCAAATTTCATAATTCGGTTCAGTTTTTTTCGATTTTGGGTTAATCGAACCGTTTACTCACCACTAGTCTTATTACCTCTTTTCAAACATGCCAAGATATTGTCTATAAAAGATAAACGAACTTAATCTACCAACACAGAGAAAGAATACATCATCCATCATCCTCTATAAAAGGTAAACTAACTTAATCTACCAACACAGGGAAAGAATACCCGAGTGAGTAAGAGAGAAATGTCAGAAGCTGGAAAAGGCACGGTCTGTGTAACTGGTGGAACAGGTTTTGTTGCTTCGTGGCTGATTATGAGGCTTCTTGAACATGGTTACACTGTCAGAACCACGATTAGATCTAGCTCAGGTGAGCAAGTGTTTTTCCTTTAATCCTTGTATTTGACATTAATTCCTTGGCATGGCCACAGACACACACGCACATAGCTAATGACTCTCTTGCTCAACTGTTATCAATTCCTCCTTTTCGCATCTTTTGAAAATAATGGAAGTGTGCATGGTTATATATGGACGTATTTAAATTTGTTGACTGTCGGAATACATTAGCTCGACTAGTGTGTGCCGTGAAGATTGGGAATGTAACTGGCCAAGGACCGGGGTTGAGAGACTCTTAAAACTTTTAGTTTGTGCTCTCTTCTACTTTCTCCTTCCCTTCACTGTTTACTTTCGGTATCCTTACGTACAGAACTGCATCAACGTGACAAGTCCCTATAATAATCACCTTTTCTACTCTCTGGCCAGGAATTAGCAAAGACATTAGCTACCTCAAAAACTTACCGAGAGCGGCAGAGAAACTTCAGATCTTTAACGCTGATCTTGACAATCCACAAAGTTTCAATAAGGCCATTGAAGGATGCATGGGAGTCTTTCATCTCGCATTCCCCCTTGACTTTGCTGAGAAAGAACCAGAAGAAGTAATCACCAAAAGAGCTGTAGATGGCACTTTAGGCGTTCTGAGGGCATGTGTAAATGCAAAGACAGTGAAGAGAGTTGTTTGTGCTTCTAGTCAAGCCACAGTTATATATAGTGGTGACGGTGATGAAGAGGTGGTCGATGAGAGTTCGTGGAGTAGCATAGATTATTATAGAAGCCTAAATCGTTTTGGCACTTCCTACTTGGTTGCTAAGAATAAGAGTGAAAGGGCAGCTCTTGAATTTGCTGAACAATATGGATTGGATCTTGTGTTCTTGATCCCTCCTCTAATTGTTGGTCCATTCATTTGTCCTTCCATACCTGAATCAGTCCAATGGGCACTATCCTTAATATTTGGTAAGATAATTTGGCTTAGACGAACTTGAATTCAATCACATAGCAAATGAAAACATTTTTAACTTTTGTCTATGCAGGTGAGAAACGATTGTATCATTTACTTGTGAAGCTAAACGTGGTACACACAGATGATGTAGCTAGGGCATACATGTTTCTGCTTGAATATCCTCATGCAAAGGGAAGGTATATTTGTTCATGGGAAGAAATAACACTCAATGAGTTGTCCGAACTTCTTTCTACTAGATACCCAGAATTTCAGATTCCCACAAAAGAGTGAGTTACATATCTTTAAAGCTCATATTTGTTTGTTTTTAAAAGGCAAAACCCCGTTAGTTCAGCCGTATTTTTGTGTCAATATTCAGTTTCTTTTAACATGTTAAAAATTTATTCAGTTTTTCTTCCAATTTGTAACTTCCATTATTAAGATTTTTAAATCGGATCAAAGGAGAGAAAAGTCGATCAATAAGGTAGAAATTCAGGTAAATATTGATAATCTAGCTAGGTATATAAACGCGTGAATAGCAATTTCAAAAAAAAAAAATTCTCTATTTTTAATTTAATTTGTAGTTGTTTGAATATGTTTCCAACCTATACATATCCTTTTTGTAGTGCCTTGAAGGACATTAAAGGTTTCAAAATGCGTGGCCTCTCACCCAAGAAGCTCTTGGATTGTGGATTCAAATTTGAGCACGGTCTTGAAGACATGTTTGATGGAGCAATTCAATCATGCAAGGAGAAAGGATTTCTGTAGATCCATTTTCGCATATCATAAGATATCATATATTTTCATGATTTGGACTTAAAAATAAGTTAAAGATTCTAGCATCACAATGACTGTGATGGTAATTTTTAGTGTTTCATCATATAATAGTTCATTTGATATTTGTTTTTTGTGTTTCGTCCTATTGCTCTATCTGTCATTGTAATTGCATTTCCTTTTTTCTTTCCTTTTTAAATAAAATTGCAAATTCGAGCTAATCTACATATTACATCAGACCCTCCCTCCCACTTTTATTAATTTACGTAGGCATGATTGTTGAAATGCTTCAAGCAGATATAGTTTGGGTGGTGAATAATTATTAAAACTTTGATTCAGTTTGAGGTTTCAAATTGAATCCATTATTTATTTTTGAAAAAAATAATATATATCTAAATTGGATTAACTCCATTTTCAGAAATATTTTTAGTTTTGATACAATATAAATGTAGTAGAATCTTTCCAAAAGTATTTTCTATTGAATATATTAATAACCTATCGATACTTTCATTTTATGTAACAAAAAGAAGATAGTGGACTTTATATATGTATATGTTAACGGTTAATTTAGTGCGTTGTTTTCTTGATATGGCTAATTTTGGTGACAAGTAATTCAGTTCCGTACATTCCAAATGACTTGAGATCAAAATCTCTTTATAATTTGGAAACTAAAGAAAAAATAGTACTAGTTTTTTTGTTTTTCTTTTACGTAGATGAAGACTAGTTTTAGTTCCCAAATAATTGAGGTCCCTTACAAACTCCTTGGGATCATCAAATCTCTATAAGTTGAAAATTTGAGAAGTTCAAGGAAAGGGTTGCCTATAATGACAATAAGAAATTTTTAAGGTTTTTGCATATGTTTTTGGGCTTTACTAAACTCGGATCTAACGTGAGATACGAGGAAAGAATTTCAAAAAATATAACAATTTGAAATAAATGTTTTAATTAAAATCAGGTAAAAAAAACAACTTAAACTCGATTCATGAAAGATAGTTAGAAGATATTTTCATTATTAAAAAAAAAAAAATCAATCAAAGTTGGATTACAAAGGCACTTTATTTATTCATTATACTATAATGGGGAGCCTTGTGAGACAACTAATGTCAGGATTGAAATGTGCACAAGTTGTTTGAAGAACGGAGTAATATATTATATAAAAAGGATCCAAATGTCATGCTTTACTTGTAAAAAAAGAATAAAAAACATGTCCATTTTACCTTTTCGGTTGGCATTTCCATCGTCAAATCAAAAGAAATCATCTTCGATGTGACCTATCTACGAACACATCGTTTTGAAGTCTTAAGTTTTTTGTGTTTTCTGGTTTTTTTTTTTTCCCCCTTATTTTGGTAAGCCAATTGTCACGGACTTGGCCTTTCCCAAGCTCACGTGCGGCACTTGGCTCTCTTCTTCTCTAAGACAAACCAAGTCGGCCTTCCTCACACAAAGTTGCTAAGCAAGAAAGACACACACAAGAGATATAAAATACTCTTTGTATTGCTTTCTAAAAGCTTACAACTCTAAAGACACACTCTCTTAAGTTTATGATTGTCTAGGTGTCTTGGCCAAGTGAAGGCCTCACCTATTTATAGCCTTCAACCTCCTCAATGGATGGCTAGGATCTATTTAATCTAATGGCCACAATTAGTTCTCTAGAAATATCATACCTAGATATTTACATGGAACTATCTAGATATTCACATGTTAGATTAGTGAGGGACTCTCTAGAATTCTCTAGATCATCCTAGAGACTTCTCCAATGCTCCATATTCTTCTGAAGCTTCCGGACTTATCTAAAGGCTTCTCCATTGTTCCATGCTCTTCCGAAGCTTCCGGACTTATCTAGAGGCTTCTCCATTGTTCCATACTCTTCTAGAAGCTTCCGGACTTGTCTTGTGTTCTCTAGAATTTCTAGAAAAATCCCTCTTTTAAGCGGAGCGTAACACAATGATACCATAAAACGCCAATAGAGCATAAAAGCTCGCGTGGAGAAGGAGCTTACAAGACAGAAATCACCAAATAAACAAGGAAATATTCAAAATAAAGAACTGAAAACAACAAGCCACAAATGATGAAGAGAGAAGCAAAAAGGGACCAAGCACTGCCATGAGAAGGGAATGAGTACGGCAGCCATCTATCTACCCTTTGATAGAAAAACAAACCAATAGAAAATATGAAAATGAAAAAAATATGAAAATATATATGATGAGGAAAAAAACATGTTTTAGAATCAAATATTAATATTAAATTAATCATGGTCAATAATGGTAAAGGAATTAATTAAATAGTGTTTTGAAACAAAAGGAACTATTAATTTTTTATTATTTTTTTGCAAAGCTATAACAACTAATTTATAAATTGCTTTACATTTTTTATTAATAAAAAGTCATAAATATGTTAATTTGATTAGCAATACTTGTAACTTATATCAAAAGATTGCTACAAAAAAGTAAGTCATTTTAATCTAAAATCAATTTTTTTAATTTTTAACTTATGGTTCATACAAAAGCTCCATCTATTACTAACAACCACATTATCTTGAACTTTTTAATGTTCATGTTCAATTCACATGTGTGATGCGAGTACGGATCCTTAAATTTCATGATTTTATAGTAACATCCAATTTGAAAAATTTATAGCCACCTTCCTTCCTTTCTTCTTCTTCTTCTTCTTCTTTTTTTTTTTTTTTGTTATAGATAGTTGTATTATTTACATGACTGGGACCCATCAACAAAATCATATGACCTCTTCTCCTTCCTCTTGCCCAAGAAACCTTAAGCCATCTCATGTTGTTCGTAGCACATAAAAGAAACATAATCAATTAATAAAAAATAATATAATAAATAAATAAATTTATTATAAATTAAAATAAATAAAGAATTGTAATTTTTTACCTTGATCTTTAGAGAATTTAGGATTAAATCATGTTACCATATCTCACGAGTATAAAGATATTTGAACCATCATAATAATTTTATCATAAATTTAGGTGACTAGCTCGAGGCACAACTAGGTTGCTTTCTTGAGACGATATGCGCCATCTACGGAATTTATACGATACAATGGATAAAGAATATATTACACGTCATCTAAGGGATACAAGCTCAACCACCTTACCGTGTCTTAACAAGTTTACACTACTTGTAAGACTTGAAACTCTAAATAATATAGTACCATTCTTACCTAGATATAGAA